ACTAAGCAGAGTGGCTGATGTTCCCTTTATTCCTTTAAATGTTACGAAAATGTCACGCTCGGCATTATAGGGCTAAACATACTGTCTTTTTCCTGCTTTGTGCCCTCCGAGTCCTGGCTGCGCACATTCAAAGTCTTCATCTCTGTGAGTTGTGGCTTTCCTTTCTTTGAGATTGGCTGAGACCGAAGAAACTCAGCTTTGGAACGCACACTGGCAGTGAGCTGTGGTGAGCAGGGTTCTTTGGCACTTGATGGATGACCGTTTCTCCAGGAGGTGAAAGAGAGTGCATCACATGTGGTTGCAATCGACACGTCACTAGGCAGGAAAGAGGAGACTCCAATGTAAGGGAAAACAGCTCAGTTTGGGAAAGTTCTAAATAAAAGGGCATTTCTAATGCTAAAACCAAATGAATATAAACTAAGGTAAACGCTAGGATTTCCAGACAGGGTTCATGTGGTTTGTGGTCTTGATCTGGGACCTTTGAAGAATGAAGAGTATTTCCTGAGCACCCTCACATGGCACGCTCAGAACTGCTCTCCCCCAAGCGGACTTCATTCGGGGATTTTCCATCGTCGGATTCCAGAGGATTTGAAATCAATAATAGATGTATTGGAAGCATACAGAATATACGGAGTTTGATTGCATCCTCCTGAATGGGGCTGCATCTTCTCACGTCGCATTACTTTTTTGCAGCTGCACAATATTGGTCCCAGTGCGATCAGTGACACCCTTCTGGAAGTGGGCTGGCCCTTCTCTGCCCGGGATGAATTTCTCCTCTATATTTTTCATATTCAAACCCTGGGGCCACTGCAGTGCCGGACAAATCCTGCTATCAACCCACAGGGAATTAAGGTAGGAAAATCAATTCCTTTGCTGATTCATGACTAGGACTTTATGTTTTTAACATTGAAGTTTAAATGCCAGGCCAAATTAAACTCTCACTCCTAGAAAATGTGCACTGTCCTAGTTTCCTTTCTCATGGCGATGTCCTTAGTGAAGAGATGTCCTGCCATTTCTGTATCTCAATAAGTAACGTTTCTTCTTCAGAAGTATATTTATGACATAGGCCAAGCATTCTGCCAAAACTAGGAGGTGCGTGTTTCTTTTCTTTTAAACATTTTTTGGTGAACTGGGTGAAGGTTTACAGTCAATATGTCACTTTTATATATGTGGCTTGATTAGCGGTACAATCACACAAAATGTATAAAAATGGAAACATCATATTTTAGAAACTTTGGAAATACATTGCTTTCCAAAGATTTTTAGTGTGGTGCCAAAACACATGAGCATCCTTGCCCAAATGGGCTTATCCACAGTTGACAATAACAATAGTGAGAAGGGACAATTTGCCAAGGGCCGTCTCGATGCCCTGAGGGCCCCGGGATGGGATTTTCAGTAGCTTCCTTGATTTTTTTTCCATCTGAAAGCAGCTTTTCTCCTTCACCTTGAAGAGGGATTTCACTGGCCAGGGGAATTTAGGTTGGCAAGCGTTTTGTTTCAATACTTGAAATATTATACTATACTCTCCTTACATGTATGGATTTGGAAGAAAAGTGGAATGTAATTCTTATCTATTCTCCTCTATTGGCAGATTTTCTCAATAGTTTAGAGATTTGCTGTGTTTCCTGTAGTCTTCCTGACCCCCTGGCTCCTTTTATTTGACTCTGTTGACTTTGAAAATGATATGCCTAGGGGTAGATTTGTTGGTATTTATTCTGCTTTCTGTCTTCTGAGATTCCCAAATCTGTGGTTTATTGCCTTCCATTAATTTTGGAAATTTTACAGCCATAATAATTTAGATATTTCTTTTGTTCCTTTACTATTTTTCCTTGTGACATCACCAGTACACGATCTTTTGCCATTGTTCCAGTTCTTGGTTTGGGAGTTTCCATTTCTTCCCTTACTTTGTAAGTCTAAAAAGTTTCTTTGATAGCAGCTCCCCTTCCCCTCCCCCCTCTCACCCACAGGAACCCTTGTTGTTATATTAAATATTATTATTGTTATTTCATTTCTTTTCAAAGGGGAGCTGATATCAAAGAGTACAAGAAGAAAGAAAATGTTTTGAAAAAGTAATGTCAACAGTTGTACAATCGTGCTTGATCTCATTGAACTATGGTTTGGGAAAATATCTGTAAGAGCTCCCAATAAAATGGAAAACAACGTTTCTATTGATATAGCTTCAGTTTTGCTGACTCCATCCTTCGCCATGTTCAGTCTATTTAGGAAGCCATGAAAGGCATTATTCTCTCTGTTACAGTGCTTTACATGCCTAGCTGTGCCTTCTGTTTCTCTCCTAGGCTTTTTGTCTCTCTGCTTGCATTATCAATTTGTTCTTTTTCCATCAGAAGTTTTAGCATATTAATCAACTCACCTTGGACTCACTCCCACTGAGTTGAGTCAGACACATAGTGACTTCAAATAGGCTTTATGAGACTGGTTGGAAATCTTTAAAGAGCATATAGCCTCCTCTTTCTCCCATGGAGCAGCTGGCAGTTACGAACCACTGACCTTGCAATTAGCAACCCAACACCTAACCCACAGTGCCACCACCACGGATTGTTACAGTTATTCTAAATGATCTATCTGGCAATTCCAAAATTTCAGTCATATCTGAGTCTAGTTCTGATCTGAGACTTAGATTCTTTAGACTCCATCTTTTTCCCTTTTACTATGTCTCATAATTTGTTGCTGAAAGTTTAACAATATGTTCCAGATAAAGAACTGAGAGGTAGACAGACTGTAGTGTGAGGTTTTTTGTTGATCTGGGTAAGAGTTAGGCCCTGTTTATCGTTTTCTGTAGGTGGTATCAGAGGTTAAAATTGTTCTCTGGTGTCTTAGCATGTATTTCCTGTGTGGTCTTGAGGTTTCCTTAGATAATCCTTTTTAAACAGCGTCTGAGATTTGCAATTCCCTTGGGTAAAATGCCCTGTTATTATGTGTCCTAATCATGTGGTGGTAAGGTGTGTGTGCAGAGGGGAGAGCCTTCTGTGTTCCTGTGATGCGGTATCAGTCTGTCAGTGAGCCCGTGCCCCTTGTCTGCACTCGTCACAGGAGCAGCTTAGCTCCCCGCCCTCAATCTTAGATGAAATAGCAAGGCTGGAAGAGTCTACAGGCCCCTAGGCCAGCTAGGCTTTCTGAAAGTTTTCCTCCAGGGAAGAATGTGTCAAGGGGGCTAGGAAGCTCTGGACATACTTCAAAATGGTTAATTTTCTCTACAACGGCCAGAACCAGAAGGGAATGTTTTTCACTCTTCACAATGAGAACTGGTGAGATTTCTGGACTAGAATTCAGCCAAGTGGGAGCAGGAGGCTAAATCTGAGGACACCCCACTCCCCTTGTAGTTTTGGCTAGGCCAGACTGAGCCTTCAGCAATTCCTCGAGTACAGTTTAAAGTGTCCCTATTGGTACTGCATCCACCGGAGGACCTTTGCCCCTCGGCTGCTTCTGCTTCCGGGAAGTTGTGATTCTCTGTACCCGCCATTCTATCGCTTCAGTTTGTGGGGAGCAACTGATGTCTGTGGCTCAAGTGTCTGATGGGACTAAGCAGAGTGGCTGATGTTCCCTTTATTCCTCCTTTTTCTGGTCCTAGGATTGCATTCTTTAGTGAAGTGTGTGGAGAAGCCAGAGTAGCGCTCCTCCACCTCTCGTTAATGCAAATTAGCTGGGTGTCTGTTAAGTGTACATTCAGGTTCTGTGGGTCTGAGGCTGCCTGAGAGTCTGCCTCTAGATAAGTCCTCACTGAATGTTCATCCTGCTGGTCTGCCAACCAATAAGAAGCTCAAGTGTTGACACATATGATCCCTTTAGGATTGAGATCTAGAGTTGGCTGTAAATCCTCTCTAAGAAGGAATTAGCATGTTGTCATTAGGTACTGTGGAGTCAGCTCCTGCCCATAGCGACCCTATGCACAATAGAAGGCTACAGTTCTGCACCACCCTCACCATTGTTCAACTTCCTGAGCCCATAATGCAGCCATTACATCAACCGATCTCATTGAGGACCCTCCTCTTTTTTGCTGCCCTCCCACTTTACCAAACATGATGTCTTTCTCCAGGGACTGGTCTCTCCCGACAATATGTCCTAAGTACATCAGATGAAGTCCTGCCATCCTTTCCTCTAAGGAGACTTATTTTGAGGCCAGAGTCTTTTTGCTTCCAAAACAGATCAATTGGCTCCTTTAGCAGTCCATGGTATTTTCAATCTTCTTCTCCAACAACACAATTTAAAGGTATCTATTCTTCTATGGTCTTCCTTATCGGTGTCCAACTTTCACGTGCATATAAGGCAATGGAGAATACCATGGCTTGGGTAAGGCAGCACTCCTTAGTCCTCAAAGTAACATCCTTGCTCTTCAATACTCCAAAGAAGTCTTGTGCAGAAGGTTTGCCTAATGCAAATAAGTCTTTCGATCTCTTGACTGCTGCTTCCATGAGCATCGGTTATGGATCCAAGTAAGAGAAAATCCTTGACAACTTTAACCTTTTCTTCATTTATCATGCTATTACCTATTGGACCAGTTATAAGGGTTTAGGTCTTCCTTAGATTGAAGGCTACCCCAGACACTCCATACTGAAGGCTACAATCCTAGATCTTCATCAGCAAGTGCTTTAATTCCTCCTCATTTTCAGCAAGCAAGGTTGTGCCATCTGCATACTGCAGGTTGTTAATAAGCCTTCCCCAAATCCTTATGCTTCATTCTTTTATCAGATGTTTTTCCCAAGCAGAAATTCACGTAAGAATGAACATTCTCCTAGAAGCCTCAGGGACATAGCATCTCTATGAGAAGTAGAGCATAGGGCAGGCTTCAAGAAAGATTGATAAAGGACAGACTCAGACACCAAAGGCACAGGTCTGCTACATCTGGGCACTGAGTCATTGCCATTGTGAAAAGTTTTCTGTTTTCTTTTAAACCCAGCGTCCTTTCTAACTAACAAAAGAAACA